AATTAAAAACCTAAGATTTCTTGACATCTACAGATGGTACCAGCATCCTGTGCAGAAAGACAAAACGATGGGTTATTTCTTCAGTAAAATCTCTGTAACTCTGCTTTAATTTATTTTAGCACCCTGAATCATTGCACAGGAAACATCCATGTGTAAATGTATGGCTATCAAGAGTTTTTATATCCTTATTCATTATATTTTTAAAAGGGTTATTTACTGTCTAATGCAAAAAGACTTCAGGTGAGGGGGGAAATATATATWTTTTTTTTGTTTTATCCTCACCATCCAAACAACAGCAGCTGCTGTGATAATTACACTTGTGATGAAACCATTATTTTGATACCACTATTATTTAAGGGGAGTTTGTAAATGCTGAGAACACATTTAATTAAATTTCAACAAGTTATTTAGAGCAAAAACTTCAAAGAAACTCCTTAGAGCTAAAGAGGTTAAAAGTAGAATCAGTCAGTTTTTGAACTCATACAAAGTTAATAATATTAACAGAACAAGAGATCAACTCAAAGGTCTGGACTGAAACAAGTGCAGGATATATTTGTGTTTCCTCTGACGTTTCGTGGTGATTTACCGCGCGCCGCGCTGCTTGATGCAGTCAAAGCTGCCATGTGGATTGTTGCGAGCAACATTAGTCACRCCGAAGGTGAAAATCCTCACTTCATCACTAATTTCTGAACAAGGAATGGTGATCCTCTGTGGGAGAGAAGACAAAACAAAGTGGCAAAGGATGAACATCTTTTTAGTTTTAGAATAGATATATGAAGGACGGGTTGACTCTCACCCCTTCATTTCCACTGAAACAGATGGTTAGATGAGAAGAGCAGCCCTGAAGGAAAGAAGAAGTAGTGAAGAGTCTCATTAATACAACATGCACACAAAACAACATTTAGCCAGTCAAACAGGGAATAAACTGTATGTTTTATGCAGAAAGATTATTAGAAATAAAAACTTTCAGTAGAAAAAGTGATGACCCTGAAATGAGGTCATGTTGATGGAAGCAGTTCGAGTTTTATGCTAAACCTTTTGGTTGTTCACACCTTTGTAGGTGTGAATATGGGTTTCTTTCAGAAGCAGAAGGTTTTTTTTTCAGTGGTTGGAAAAATAATTGAACACTTTCAGTTCTTAGTTGTGCATCTATAGCGGTTGTAATCTTCTTTTTTGAATTCCCGAATATGTCCTTAGCTGAAAGGTCAAGTTTATAAACTGGAACTCCATTACATGATGCTTGTTAGACTCAGTCTGTTCAGGTTAGTTCAGGTTTAATCAAACGGTGGAACAGATCCAGTTTAGCTCTAAACTCCATTTCTAAAAAAGTTGGGATATTGGGTAAATAAAAACAGGATGCAATGATTTGCTGATGTAAATGAGCTGTGAGTTTAGGAAGCTCAAAATATTGCAATTTTTCTATTTTCAGATGAAGTTTTATTTTTTATTTACTTTTTTTTAACACTGCTCATCTTTACTTCTAAAATTCTCTTTAAAAAGAAAAAAAGTCCTCTTATTGGCTGTTTCTTATTCGTACCGGTTACCTTTAGCTCATCAYTCTCTGTCAGTGTGCCCCAGGGCCGCTGTGGGTGAAATGTAAAGCGCTTTGGGGTCCATATGGACTTGATAAGGTGCTATATAAGTTCAAGTCGTTTGACCATTTTGTTACCCCTGCCCTAACCTTTCAACAAGTGAGGCTGCCTTAAAATTCAAAATACTTTAAATAAATAAATAAATAAATAAATAAATCTTTTGAAAGAAATCCTCAGAACCACAGCGGTCCAACATAAATGAGTTGACATGATATGTTGACTGTGAGATTCAAATCTGGGGTTTGGAGATTTATTTGTTTGTTTATTTATTTATTTTTAATATTTTTATTGACCTTTTATTGGTCCCCAGTTGGGGAAATTCATTCTCTGAATTTTTTCCAATCGCACATGTGAGCACACACACGTGGAGCAGTGGGCTGGCCTTTTTGAGGCGACCGGGGAGTAGGGCTGCCACGATTACTCGATTAACCGACGACTAATCGATTATTAAAGTAATCGATGACTAATTTAATAATCGATTAATAGTTTTCTTGTGTTTTTGTTCTTTACTTTGTTTTTCTCTCCAAACTGCTTTGACACCTTCCACTGCCACATCTGCCTTTCTGTCCTTGACACACATGCACAGTAGTGGTAACTGGGGTAGGCCGTGGACGTCACAAGACATTATACAGACAGGCTCTGGTATCATGGCTACCCAGCAACGGAGCTCAAAGTGTGGGATCATTTTAAGAAAATGAAAGAGAAACCTGTGCAATATCTGCAGAGCAGAACTTACCTTCCACAGCAATTATTTTTAGTTAGCATAAAGCTAAAATCTAACCATGGTTATGTAATAGCAGCTGTATTCTGGTGCAATAAGCTCTATGTTTTATATTCAATTAACATATGATTCGATTAGTCGACTAATCGAAAAAATAATCTGTGATTAATCTATTATAAAAATAATCGTTTGTGGCAGCCCTACCGGGGAGCAACTAAGGGGTTATGGGTCTTGCTCAAGGGCCCAGAGTGGAGCTGGTCGGGAAGTTGAACCAGCAATCTTCCAATCACAGGTTCACCTTCTCTAATCTCTGCGCATTGTTTTTATTTATATAAGCTTTTACTGCTTCCTCCAGATGAAAGACTGCAACAACCTGAAGACTCAACACAATCTGCTGGCCTCCTTCGAATGATTGATGTGTCCAGTGTCCTGAGACGATGTTTGTTGAGATTTTAAGTTTGTTGAGCGAGATGTAAATAAACTGAATTTACATTTTACACAATGTCCCAACTTTTTGGGATTTGGGTTGGAAGACCCAAGGTGTTAAGGACAAAACTTCTCATGTCTTCAGTAGGGATGTCCCGATCCAGATTTTTTGGTTCCCGATACAATCCGATTTTTTTTAATGATAAGTCTTTCCGATAKCGATCCGATAGCTTTATTTATTTCTTTCTTTCCAAATGACAAGGTTGGTGGTCTTAAAGCGAGCCCTGCTGTTCCCACCATGAGAAACATCCAGTCTGCAGATTTTGCAAGATACAATTCCAGCATCGTTTTCCATTGAAAAGTGTTCCCACACTGTGGACATGGTTGCATACTTGTGTGCAACTAGATTTCTTAACGGCAGTTGTAAAGCATGATGATGCTGAAAACTGTTGTGAAAACTGGATCGGCCCAATCACATGACTAAATTCGATTCTACCCAGTTTTCAAAAAAAGGCCACATCTGCCACCGATACCGATACTGAGTATCGGATCGGGACATCCCTAGTCTTCGGCGATTTAGTTTGAAAATAGCATTATTACGAGTCAGCAGCTGCACATCTTTTAATGACTTCAGTTCTCAAGCCAACAAGTTCCTCCTTAAAACCAGCCCCAAGTACAAGATACACATCTTTATACAGCTGAAACAGGTTCGGAGTAACACCAGCACTTATCTGAGGTTATTTGGGTGTATTCATTTCATGAATGGTTCATGAAACAAAAAAAGWTATTGCTTTATGAGATCCATGTTGTATAGAGTGAGGCTTATCTGTAGACGGGTCGCAGAGGCAACAGGTCCAGGAGAGAAACCCAGACCTCCCTTTTCCCAGAAACAGTTTCCAGCTCATCCTGGGAAACCCCCCCTTGGTGTTCCCAGGCCAAAGAGGATACATAACCCCTCCAGAAAGTCCTGAGTTTTCCCCGAGGCCTTACCAGTGGGACGGGCTCGGGACATCTCTAAAGGGAAGCGTCGTGATCAGAAGTCTGAACCACCTGCTGAGGAGCAGCGGCATCACTTCAAGCTTTAGCCACTTGTGTCCTGGATCTTACTTGTTTCGGTCATGATCCACACCTCACTGAGGGTCAGAACGTAGACAGAGCAGAAAATCGAGAGCTTCGCCTTTCCACTCAGCTCTTCCTTCACCACAACTGACCAAAGCMACACCCTCATTACTGAGGATGAGGCCCTGATCCCTCGATCCATCTTCTGTTCCATCCTACCTTCCCTCGTGAACAGGACACCCAGACACATCTACTAGAGGCAAAGGCGCCCCTGCCCCGAAACCAGAACCCAATGACTCCCATCCCACTCTCGGCTGCGAACCGCCCCAGTGTACAATGAAGGTCTCCACCCATAGATGGCAACAGAACCACATGATTCCACATAAAACAGAGAGGAGACCCTGAGGTTTCCAGACCAGACACCCCCCTCTCAACAACCGAGCCTTGAGGTCCTGTCCGTGAACACCACAAACAGGATRTGTGAGAAAATAGTTCTCTCTCCAAACCGTCTCCTGCCACTTGCTGTCTTTATGGTTAAATGACAGCTGCAGTGTAAAGTCTGCATCAGCTGGGTCTGACAAGTACGTGTCAGCAATAATAGATACACAAATAATAATAAATGTTTTATTACAATCCAAACCTTTTCATTATTTAAACAGAGCTCAGGCTAAGGTCATCACATTGTTCAAACCCATCAGCCTGTCTCATAAGAGCCCACTGAGACAGAGGAATAAAAAGGCTGCCACCTCTCACAGGTGTAAATTCATTATCCTGCAGGGAAATGAAAGGATGAGCGAGCAAAGAGACGGGCTGCAAGGCTAGAATCCGACTGACCTTTTCCTGGAGGGGATTTGTAAATCCACCTGTTGATGAGTGCACAGATTGAGGCATCTACCAACAGCACGGAGTCCGGTCCGCCCTAACACATGTGGAGCTGRTCTTCCTGGGTCTGTGCTCAGGGCTGGGCGAGGTGAGCTCTGAAGAGCCARGCTTACAGCTAAATAAAGAAACCTAAAAGGTGTGCAGGCACAGTGATGTGTGCATGTTGAGCCTTTGTGTGTTTGTGTGTGTGTGTGTCAGGTGTTTTCCCCTGCTCTGTTTTGTTTCATCACAGCATGACGACAGTAATGTGGTTTTCACTTTTTTTCTTTTTCTTTCATCAGAAAAGACTTGTCATCACTGAGGAGTTTCCTATCATTATTACAAGGAATTACTACTGAGGAAGTGAACCGCAAATGACTTTCTGCAAAGACTATAATGAGGAAATATTATATCTATCTTTGGGTAAAGTGCACTTCTTTTATCCACAATGTATTTAATAAAAGATTAGCACCAGAAAAAATAACAAACACTGCTTTCCCTAAATGCAGTCCAAAAAAAATCCCTCCCACTACTTGCTTTCATTCACCCACAACCTTTCCTTTTCTCTGTCCACCACACTGATTAGCATTCCTAATACTTACCGGCAGCTTGCTCCAAGCTTCAAAACACAGGGAAGCGGTTCCGCTTTGTTATGAAACATGTATTACCAGTTAATGGCTACATGGGGGGCTTTTAGGGAAGAAAAAAAAACCGGGGATGATAGTGCCGAAGTTCGGCCGAAATTTAAACCACGACCCCACCGACAGAGCTTTGTCTTTCTCACTTCGCTTTTTAAGTCTGCTTTAGCAAAGCGGAACGGAAATTAACCCTTAATTTCCACATTTATGGGGATTAAACTGAGGTTAAATTACAACATGTGAACCCACCTCGCTGCTCTGAAAGGTACCGATAGCTTTTGCCGCGCTGTCAGTGAGTTTTACGTGAAAAACCGAGACGTTGCCGCCGGGGCTCAGTTTACCGCTGGACAGTCCGTAACACTGGTTCTCCTTCAGCGCCAACATCGCGCCGCATCTCCCTGCCAACGGTCAGAATCCTCCCGAACCGAAGCAGTGCCGACATAAATGAGCCAACCCTGACCGGAGGGAAGAGCTCCMCCGAGCCGTGTATAAAGCAGCACCTCCGCTGCGCGCTATTCTGGAATACACAGCATTACGTCATGACGGCTGAACCCAGGCCAGATTTTATTGGTCCAGAGACACGAACAAACCACTACGTACGGCTTACGTAACCACTTCGGATTTGGTTCTTCTTTTATGGCAGACCGTTGTTACATATATTCAAACCGGTCTCCTTAGCAGTAAAACTATATTTTCTGTGAAAATGCCATACTTACAAGGGCGTAACTTTAGGTCTAACACTGGGAGGGTTATGCTCTTTGCCTGTTAGTTTGTTAGTTTGTTAGTTTGTTTGTTTGTTTGTTTGTTTGTTTGTTTGTTTGTTTGTTTGTTTGTTTGTTTGTTTGTTTGTTTGTTTAATCATTTACTTTTATAAAACGATTTAGGATATTTGGGGTTAAAATACATTGCAAGGTTTTTACTGTGATTTAGCTTTCCTGTTGTCTTTGAACTTACTCTGCACCTTTTCTGTTCCATGTCAATTTAACAATTAAAAAAGCCCCCCCCCCTTTTGTGTGTGTGTGTGTGTATGTATATATATATATATGATTTGTTAGGAAAAGTTAAACTGGAATGTTAAAGTTAAAACAATCAGAATTAAAGCTAAAATTACCTAAACAAAACTAGCTAAAATCGAAGATTATCGAAACGGTACATCTTGGATCATTGAAACAGTAGCTAAATGCTAAAATTAACAGAACAGTGCATTTTGGAATGATCTGAGATTTAAATATCCTAAAAGAAACTAATTACTCATACAGGTCTGTAAATTCRTTACAATGTGAGTTTCTGTTAGTAAGAATTATATATTTGTTTCTTAGATAAAAAAATAACTTTTGGATGTTTGGAGATTGAAAAAAACTTTTTTAATGAATAGGAAAAGTTCTGTCAGTTGCGTCAGGAAGAATTGCAATAAAGATGTTTGAACTAATAATTCTGAATTAAACAAATGACATTCTGATTAATTAAAGTTGACTAGAAGAGTACTGAACAAGAATTTTGCTCTTATATTTTATAACATACTGTATTAGGAAATGGCTTGCCATACTTCTCACTATGCTACATGAGGTCAAACAATTGTATATCAAAATATTATGAGATAGATAGATAGATAGATAGATAGATAGATAGATGGATGGATGGATGGATGGATGGATGGA